CACTAGATTACTAGAGCATTGTAAAAACTTTGTAGAAAATAAATAAGAATAAAGTATTTGGTGTTGCCAATTATATGTGGCGCGTTTGCGGGAACAATGACATAAATCAAAATGGAGAGTCGCAAAAATCTTTTCTGTGTATTCAAAATAATACAGAAAATTTGTTCATAAACTTGTAGAATAGTTCTATACCAACGTTTTTTTTTAGCCTTCCATAGTAATTTACACTCAGCTATAGATAGTTTAAATTCCGGAAGTCGAAGTTATGTTTTTGAGTGTCGTTTTGAATGTTAAGTGTGTCGTTTTTCTTCCCAATGTACGGTGTATAAAATTTGCGTTAGTGTAGCTTATAAGCTTTGTTAATTTTTTTTTTAATTTTGAAATATAAAAATTTTTAATTGTAATACTGGGTTCGGTACACATTTAAGTTAAACAAGGAAAAGTTTAAAACATGAAAATAAATAAACCGTTCTACGTAAAATTGCACTGATAAATTATTAAAATTTCGAAAAAAATTCCAATTGAATTATTATGATTTAAGTACTAAACAATATATTTCTAAATTATAGACCAATTCTGATATTCTGAATTAAATTCTATTTGATGTCCACATGAAATGTTATGAACGAAAACTGGAAATTTAAATAAATACAAAATAATAAAAGAATTATCATTTTAATTACTACGCGTACTTTAATCTAATTTTAACATAGAAAATTAAAAAAATAGGCAGCTAGGCAGGCTTTACCTGTAGGAAATCGTTTATTATTTCCTCCATTTTATTGTACATTCATATATGTATATACAAAAAGTAATTATGATGTAAGGTATTTTTATTGACCCAATAGATTACATTCCAAATACAATAAAGTATTTTATGTATACACGAAAAAAATTAAATTAAATAATCGAAAATTAAATATTTGAAGTAAATTTTGAAGGGCAATATTTTTTAATTAATTTTTTTAACAAGAAGGCAGACACTTATTATGTAAGTACTCCGTATTAAAAGGGAAAACAGCATGTACTGAAGAGAAAATTAAATACAATTTTTTTTTGTGGAAAAATAAACAAAAAAAGAATTACAGAAAGTGAAGTGTTCTTATTTAAAAAATAAATTGAAATTTCGAAAATTTACAAAATTTTCAATTGGTTTAAAATGTTTTTTTCCTTAAAAATCGTTAAATATACATATTTTTTTTGTAGAAATAAAAAATCTAAAAAAAAAAGTAGGTGCCGGTTGATTACAGGATTTTCTTTAAATTTTTTCATTTAATTTTAGACTAAGTAGTAAAAATTAATAAGTCTGCCACCTCTGCAGAAATCATGTACTTGAAATAAAAATTCTGTTTTTGGAATTATCTCAAATTATTCCATTGAAAATTTCTTCATTCAAATTGATCTAAATTTGTTCTAACGGCTTTAGCTAATAATGTGTTTTTCTTGACATCCATTTTCACGAAAATTCGGGTAGTGCGATCGGGAAACTTTACCTGGATCTGGTCCGACTCCGCCTTTAAAAATTTAAGAGGAAATCTCTTTACATTTTATTAAGAAATTAATGAAAAATTTTCAGTGTTTTAGCATCTTATTTAAATATCTAAGGGAATAATCAGAAAAATTAAATGCAATTTTTAAATTGTAATTATCGTAACCATCAGTCTTATACCGTTTAGTTTTATCAAACAAATTAATGAAATATTTTTTTGTGTTTTAGCTTAAAAAAATAAATGTTTTTTTTTTTTTGAGAGCGTCTTTGTGGTTTTGAAAGTTGTTTGTTTGTAAAGAAAATAGATGCTTGAATAGGGAAGAAACAAACTTTCGAATGACGCCATTTTGAACAGAGCCTCCATACTTATACTACTTATAAGTAATCGTATAGATTTACTTTTTTTTTACATATTCTATTTATTATTATAATTAAACAATAATCTGAATAAGTTATACAACATCTAATTGTTATAAAAAACTAACAAAAAAAATAATAAAAAAAGCAAGTGTTATGATCGCAACAATAAAACAAATGAAAACTGTTTCAAACAAATTGAATAACACTAATTTTTAAACCTATTTTCATGGTTTCATCTTTTATATTTACTTTAATACATTGTTTAATTTGAGATATGGAATTATTAATTTGTTTCTTTATTTGTAATGCTTAAAAACTATTTGACTCAAAAATTAAATTAGAATGGTTTGAATTTCGACTTCAATGGACATTTTGTATGATGTTTGAATTGTTTATTTATTTAAGAAACAATTTTTTTTACCATTAAGGCAAATAAGCAAATTTTTTGCAAATTAATTGCGCGTACAGTTAAGCTCCTTGAGTTATTTGAAATGACTAAATTACAAACTGTTTGATTTTCTAATTGCATGCGATCATGCAGTTGTAAGAGTGAGCGCTTGAATATAAAGCTATTGAATACATATAAGTAATCAAACAGTTATAAAATTAAAAGTTGCATGCCTGCTTGAACCTATTATGTAAAACACATTTGGGCGACTATTTCAAAATATCTGGTTTTCTAACTCTTAGGTATACATAAGTATATTTATTTTAGCTTTGCTTTAAGTTTATAAATCACATAGTATTTATATACTTCCATCCTAAAATTTGACTGTTCAACCATACTACAGTTTCTGTTATGTGCTAATCATACAACAATTCTTGCCGTATTTTTGTATTTCAAACCAATTTGTGTAGTTAAGAATGATGTCATATTATCGAAACTTACTAAAAGTAATGAAAAATGCTGTTGTGCTAGATTGTTCTGTTGTTTTTTCCATATTTTATAAGTAGAAAATGTTTTTTTTTTTAATTTATGTTAATAAATTATATTTTTTTTTGTTTAATTAGGTGGTGTTGATTGTTTTTACATTGATAATATTTTTTATGCATATATCACACGCGGTTATACAATAAATAATTTTATAAACATTTTCTGTTTTTAAATCAAAATAAAATTTTAAGAATAGAACAAATTTTTTGAATTTGGCAATTCGATTCTGGCTTTTTGCTAAAATTGAAATTTGTAAAAGAATTAAATTCTATTTAAAACAGTATACATAATATTTCGTGAAAAATTTTTCGGGAATGTGGACATTTATTCAAGCATCAATCAACTTTCCGAACATGAGATCGCATATATGCGTTGCCCAAAAGTATCGAAATCATAGCGATGCTTTAACTTACTCGAACGTATTTTTTTCGTTTAAGCCACTTTATCCTAATATACTTATGTATTTATACTCAATAAAAGTATAATTTTTCATTAATAAACTTTAAGAATTTTAAAAATAAGGTCATTTTGCTCGGTTGGAACAAGCAAAAGTGCAATTTTATTTAATATTCATAGATGTGTGTATGTATATGTATTTATTTAATAAATTATTCGCGGAAAATTCCATTTTAAAGATTAAGCTGATTTTTAAACACCATAATATTATCTATAATGTAAAGTTTACAAAATTTTCGGCTTTATTCCAAAAATGTTAAATGTATAGCAAAACTTGGCAAAAGTCAATTATGTTAGTATTTATTATTAAGGGTAATTTGCAAAAAAAAAAAAAAAATTGAAAAATTCGACAAAACAGCAATTTCCATTTCTTGTTTGTCTTTTATTTTTTTTTTTGTTAAAAAGTAAAAATTTACATCGTATGTAGAAGTGGATGTCAAATTCATTCTTCTATACGTATGTATATGTCGAAAGCATTTCCTTTTAGGTTAATATTTAAAATTTCTTTCTAAACTTTTTACACATAATTTATCAATATCAGATATAAGAAAAAAATTTATGAAAAATGAAAATATCTAGGCTATATAAGTAATATATACTTATTTGTAAAATTTGGATTTAATCCAAAATGGATAAGATAAATTATTGTAATTTACATTATTAGAAAATTTTAGAAAATGGTGTGTAGGTACAAGTAAAAATAATTTTTTTTTATGAGTATATTGATTATTTTACATATAAATTATTTGGTACCATTTACATAATTACAATTTTTGAAATATTTGTGTAATGTCTTCATTTATGTGCCAATATATATTTCAATGATCAATTTTCGACATAGACACATTTTTTTTTATTATTTTAGGAGTATAATTTATTTTAAAAATAAATTTTGTTTTAAAGGCTATGTAGGCATATAAAATAATAAATGGGAGCAAACAAAAGATATTTACTTTAAAATAAATTGGTATAATGCAAAATTGCTTAAATATGTGTAACTTATGCCGTTTGACTCAAATAGTCACTGTGCTTAATGATAAAATGCTTTCTTAATATTAACTTCTTTCATTGTAACAAAAATTTAATAATTTAATACCTTGATTAATAGTTATAATTATAATTTTTAAAACTATCTCATAAATACTGTTAACTAAGAATATTTATTAAAATAATGTTATTATAGTCAGCAGTTAGACAGCAAATAGATAAAATATTTATAGATAAAGTTGCCGTGAAAGAATCCTAGCAAAACAAAACTCCAAGTGGTAATCCGTTTTAGTTAAATGTGCTTTATAAGTCAAGAAGTTATAATTTCTAATTTTGAGTATGTATTTTAAAACTAAATTTTGCAAAAAAATAATAATTTTCATATAAATCTTAACAATAACAGAGCCCGCAGGGTGTTATTTCCAGTCAGAAGAGAAAAAAAAATAACATTCCTAATACGTAAAATTTTAGACCTCTGCTATAGTAACTTTCAGATTAAAAGATTTTATACAGAATCCTATTGTACTTGCATTCCTTCTTGAAATTCCTCATCTTCATTTTATTTCCTTTGGTTAAGCTAACACAGAAATTTGTTAAGGTAATTTAACTGATTAAAGATATTACTTCAAATTTTATAAAAAAAAAATATTGAAGGCAATACCAGATTCAACCAAATAATCTTATATAAAAACAAAAAAAAAAAATGATAAAAGAAAACTATTTTTAATAAAATAAAAATATCCAATTATTTTTCTCTTTCTCATCCAATTTTAGAATCTTCACAAAATTTCTATATTTCAAAATAACAAAAAAAAAACGTCCTTAAAAATTATATTTAAGAAAACAAAAAGAAACCATAAAGAAAAACAAAACAAGACGATAAAATTTTTAAATAAAAAATTTTTGAATTTTCACAATTTGCACACATCTATATATACTTCATCTTATCCATCCATCTTTTACCGCCATCTATATTTACCATTTACCACACATACTAAGAAATTAGAGCATGAGATTATTTGAATTCAATTTTGCTGAATTTTTGAATAAATGAAGCGGTGTGTTAAATAATGTAAATGATGCAAACGAAAATTTCAATGCACTCTCCTCCAACACCAACAACACCAACAACAATCGAATAATAAAAACAATAATCCGAAAAATAAATAGAAACAAAACATGAATAACAAATTTATCTTATCCAGGTGTATCAATAATTCATACTGCTTCGTTGTCAACGCTGTCACGAATTTACAAAATCAGAACAGGTGGTGGTAAAGAATAAATCAAAATTACAAAACATAACTAGAAGCAGTAAAAAAAAAAAAACTTCGAAATAAAAAAAAGAAGACAAAACGAAACCAATTTATTTTTTATTTATTTTATAAGTTTTAATAATTTTGAAAAAATTTGAAATTGTATATATATATATATAAAATTTACTACATACATATATACACTAAAAATATATTTATAAAAAATTTAGAATAATAAAAAAGCAGCAAAAATGACGGAAAATAAAGTTTGGCCTCAGCCTGTTTCTGAAACAGTTTATGGCACAGATGACAACAATATGGTTATGTCGGAAAAAGTTCAACAATTGGCTGGTAGTATTTATCAGGAATTTGAAAGAATGATATTACGTTATGATGAAGATGTTGTTAAAACTTTAATGCCACTTTTAGTTAATGTATTGGAAAGTTTAGATAATACTTATCGTACAATACAAGAACAAGAAGTTGAAGTTGAATTATTACGTGAAGACAATGAACAATTGGTAACGCAATATGAAAGAGAGAAAAGTGCAAGAAAACAAACTGAACAAAAATTATTAGAAACTGAAGATGTTGCTGAAGCTGAAAATAAAGAATTAAGTAGTAGATTAGAATCTTTAGAAAGTATTGTTAGAATGTTAGAATTAAAGCACAAAAATAGTTTAGAGCACGCAAATCGTTTAGAAGAACGTGAAGGTGAATTAAAAAAAGAATATAGTAAATTGCATGAACGTTATACAGAATTATTTAAAACTCATGTTGATTATATGGAAAGAACAAAAATGTTAATGGGTACACATTCACAAATAAGTTCAGCATCAGATAAATTTGAAATAAATCGTACAAGATTACATCCGATTGCAAGATCATCTGGTCCAATATCATATGGTTTTACATCATTAGAAAATTCAACAATGTTAGATACTGAAAGAATATGTTCTGATAATGAATCTGATTCAGATCCAACATCATTACAAAATGAAATTGATAATTTAGAAAGATTAGATGATAATGATAGTTTACCACCATTAATATCACCAACAACACAACATCCTCCCCCAACAACAATTGTACCACCTATTGAAAGCTCAATTGTGCCGAATTTTTCTGGTTCCATGGGTAAAACAACAACCCATAGAGAACAAAGATCAGCAAATACTTTATATCAAGAACTATCATTTCATGATAATGAAGAAAGTGAAGAAAATGAAGTTACTGGTAGTTGGGTACATCCTGGAGAATATGCAACTTCAGCTAATGATAATTATTTTGGTATGGGTAAAGAAGTTGAAAATTTAATATTGGAAAATAATGAATTATTAGCAACAAAAAATGCTCTCAATATTGTTAAAGATGATTTAATAGCTAAAGTGGATGAATTAACTGGTGAAGTTGAAATATTACATGAAAAATTAAATTCAGTTTCACAATCCAAAAATAAATTACAACATAAAGTTAATGAATTAGAGGAAGAATTAAAGAAAACCAAAGAACAAATTAAACAACAACATGATTCTGAACAAGAAAATGAAAATGATATACCAATGGCGCAACGTAAGCGATTTACACGTGTTGAAATGGCAATGGTGCTTATGGAACGTAATCAATATAAAGAACGCTTAATGGAATTACAAGAGGCTGTACGACTTACCGAAATATTGCGTGCAACAAAAAACGACGAGTTCGAAATTAAATCAAAACAAAGCGCTTGGAAATATTTCAGTAGCTTATTTAAAATAACAAATAGACCGCAACATGAGCCATCACAAGCTGGAATGTTCCGTTATAATGTTAATCAGGGATCACCGAGTAGACAAAGTACAGATGGCAATCGTTTTATTTTGCGTGCCAGTTCAGCATCTACGGCAAGTCCTGGTCTTGCAAATGCATTAATTTTAGCCAAAGATTACAATGATGAAGGAACATCTCAAAGGGCAAGTGCAAGACGTCGGGAACAATATCTTCAGTTAAGAGCACACGTTCAAAAAGAAGATGGAAGATTACATGCGTATGGTTGGAGTTTGCCAGTTAATAACAAAGTAGCACATGAACACCAACATAAACATTCTGGAGGTGTACCGGTACCAGTTCCAGTTTATTGCAATCCGTTAGCTGAGACAAGCTCTGAAATGAAGGTTTATTGTGCTGCTGGTGTGAATTTAAATGGAGGTTTCAAAAAGAATGGTGAATTTTTCATACCAGATGAGGTATTTTTTGTTACCAAATCAGCAATAAAATCCAATGAAATTGTTCCATCAGCTGGAATTAATGGTATGGATAGTGAAACTCAAGCAACATTTTGTTCAGCGAATTCAAGCGAAGAATCTCAATTAAGTTCATACGTTTGGATATGTACGAGTACTTATTGCGCCAGTACTGTAACTGTAATTGATGCTAATAATCCAGCAAACGTCTTAGATGCATTTCCAGTATGTCAGAGTCATCTATTATGTATTGCTTCAGTTCCTGGTGCTATGGAAAATGATTATGTATTGCTCGAACGAAGTGAAATAGCCAAGGATGGTGAAAGTTTAGAAAAGCCTGGCGATGAAGTTGATAATGTTGGTCGTATAGTATACGTTAAAAATGCTATAGTCGATGGCTTAAAAAACAATAAAAATAATAATAATACCAATAATTCAAATAACGCCAACAACACCAATAATAATAACATTTCCGAAATTGTTATCGAAAATAATACTAATAGGGATTATTCACAAACTCCAGAAGGTGAAGATGTTGTACGTAGTACCGATGCTAACTTAGAATTTTCGAAGCCAGTTAATCCAATTTTAAGAACTAAAGGTAGAGAGAATGAACCAGAAATGTCATCAGTTGGTCCTACAATGTGGATGGGTGCACAAGATGGAATGTTATATGTTCATAGTGCAATAGGTAGATGGCATGAATGTTTACATAAAGTAGAACTACCCGATCCAATATTGGCAATTGTTAACTTAGGTACAAGAGTATTTGTAGCTATCGCAAATGGTAAACTTGTAGTATTTCGTCGTCAAGCTGACGGTCAATGGGATTTAAATAATTATTTTTTGGTGACATTAGGTTCACCAAAACATTCAACACGTTGCTTATGTATTGCTGCTGATAAAATTTGGGCTGCTCATCGCAATAAAATTTTCGTAATTGATCCAATTTCATTAAATATTGTACGTAAATTTGAAGCTCATCCTCGTAAAGAAAGTCAAATTAGACAGATGACAGCAACTGGTTTAGGCGTATGGGTATCAATAAGATTAGATTCAACATTACGTTTATATAATGCATTATCATATGAACATATACAAGATGTTGATATTGAACCATATGTTTCGAAAATGCTTGGAACTGGTAAATTAGGTTTCTCATTTGTTCGTATTACTGCATTATTAGTCTCTTGTAATCGTTTATGGATAGGTACAAGTAATGGTGTTGTTATATCAGTACCATTAAATGATGGTGGTATTAGTAATAATTATAAAACATCTAATACAACAGCAACATCAAATACAACATCAAATTCAAATACAAATAATATTAATACAATTATAAAAGCAAGTAATAATAGTAATAATGATGGTTATATACCACGTTGTTGTATGGCCAATGCTCAATTGTCATTTCATGGTCATAGAGATGCTGTAAAATTTTTCGTTGCAGTACCAATGTCTCAATCAAATAAAAATTCATTAACACAATTAAATAATGATAAAAAAGATATGCTAGTCATTTGTGGTGGTGAAGGTTATATTGATTTTCGGCAAGGTGATAATTCAATGGAAAATAGTGTTCATTTAGAAATGAATCAAAATTTGGAAAATCGTGGAGAGAAAAGTTTTTTAATAGTTTGGCATGTTAATCAACGTTAAGAATATTAAAATATAGAAACAAAAAGAAAAGAAATTTTAAATAAAAATTTATAATATACATACATAATATATATATACATATTAAATATATTTATTTAATTAGCTGTCTAGTAAGTTAATGGAAAAATTAAAAAAAAAAAAAACCTTTTACTAATTTAAAAAACAAAAACTTGTATAATATTGAAAAAAAAATTATTTATAAAAGAAAAATATAGCCAATAGAATTTATAATTTAAAAAATACTGTGCAAGCAGAAAAAAGCAATTTTATTTTGTATTAGAAATTGTGATTTAAAATTTTGCTAGACGTTCATATAATTTTGAAATTTTATTTTTTTTAATATTTTTCAATTAATTTCTATTTCTATGTATTTTTTTTAAATATACATATATGTGCATTGTATGTTTCTGTTTTGTTAAAATTTCAAATTTGTATTTTATAAATAAAATTGTTTTTTGTGACCTTTTACATAATGTACACTATATACTTTTAATAAAGCCAATTGATTGGCCTCCCAGTGGTTTATTTGGCCAAATAATTAAATTTTTTATTATTATTTAAGTTAAAAATGAAAGAAATAATTATATTTTAGGAAAATTAAATAAATAAAAGGTTGAGTTTCGAATTGTAATAATTACGGTATTACTTATTAATTTTCAAGTCAAATATTAATTTCTTTAAATGAATTAATTTTGAAAAAGACAACTCTCATTATATGAGGAAATTTTTTTACTCTAAGCTTAAATCATTTTCTAAGCTCAAATGTCGTAATAATTTCAAGATTGTTCTGTATGACAGAAAGCTTTCAGTCAATAAAATTGTATAACTTTTGGATCAGAATTCTCATTCCTCTTTGAACTACTAAATGATTTCTTTTCTCTTGATTTCAATTGAATTTCGTTATAATTATAACATGTAAAGATTTTTTTAATATCGAAAATTTTTTGGATCTAAAGCAAAGTGACTGTATAGTCTTTACGTTTCGAAAAAATTCAAAAATACAAAAAAAAAAAAAAAACAATTTTCTCACTTAAAATTATTTTAGTCAATTACTTCGTGAGCAAAAATATTTAATTATTTAATAGAATGAGGTCTGTTAATTTCTTAACTCCTTGTTTAATAATATTTTGGAACTCAACTCATTTAAATCAAAATTTTTTTATATTTTTAAAATATTTTTACTTTAAATTTCTAAACACAACTTCAAAAACTTAACATTTTAAATTAAATTACTATGAAATACTAAATTATTTTCTTGGAAATTTAAAAAAATATTTTGTTATACGAGTCTAAATTGTTATACATAAAAAAAAACAAGACAATGAAAGAAAATTATTGAATAATTTTTATTGTACGAAATTTGTAAATAATAATTTTAATTATTTTTTTGAATTAAAAAAATAAATTATACCAAAAACAAGTAAAAATAAAACTTAAATTTATTTATTTTCATATTTAAAAGGTGATTATAATTAATTTTAAAAGTTTTAAATATAAAAACATTATTGGATAAATAAAGAAAAACAAAAAAAAATGTGAACGAAATATGTATGTATATTTATTGTTATTTTGTTTTTTTTTTTTGTAAGCTTTAATTATTAAAATAGGATAAAACGCAAACTATATTTAATATTTTGTAAATGTATGTTTTACATAAATTAGTGATAAAATGATAATTTTAAAATAAAGTATTCATGCATTTAAGCATAAATAAAACAATGTTGGAAGAGAATAGCAAACAAAAATTATAATGAATTTCTTCTATATTAAATAATATAATAACTTTATTTTATTATATTTTATGTAATTTTTTTAATTTTTGATTTGATAGTATCTAACAAAATACTTAAACCGAAAAATTAAGCAAAGATCTTGAGCCTGTTTTGTTTTTTTAAATATTACATAAATTAATTTTTATTTGTATGAATATGCCAAAAAATAAATTTGAGGAAAATTATCTTCGAAAATTATTTAAATTTCCTTTTCTTTCTTACTTAATCACATTATTATTACTTAATTATGTTTTGTTAAAATGAAATTCAAACTTTATTATTATGTCATTTTAAAATATTTATGATCACATATGAAGTTAATTGTATTATAAAATAATTATGTACGAATTATGTGATTTATGATGATCTTTTATTATAATATGATGATTTTGTAATTACAATGAGATATTATACTTAATAACAAATAACGTAATAGTGTTATAATAAAATAGCGATTATGTAGAATTTCACGGATAATACAATTATTTAAACCTCTATATTAACGAAAAAAAGATACTCTTTTCAATTAAACTTTAATTAACACAATTATTTATTGGTGACATAAGGAATATTAACAAAAAACTTAATATACCCTCAATAGTCATCGTTTAATGCTGCTGTTTTTAAAAAAAATTTCTTTTGTAATAAAAAGTAATAATTTTTATTATATTTTAACTCATTATTTGCCGCCTAACATACAATATTAAGATTTCCTAATAACTTGCATTATTTTAATTCAGAATGTTAAATAGATGAACTTGAAATTTTTTTTTGAGGAATACTCGTATTAGAGCTCTGACCAAAAAATTTAAACAGTGACTAATGCTACATATTTTATCGTATGGTAAAAACTAAATGGCAGAATTTCTTGAAACTTAATATTTAAGTTCTGTTTACTACAGAAACTAACTAATGAATTTTTCTGAAAATTCGGATGGCATAAATTGAATTGTTCTACTAAGAGTTAAATTTACATTTTTCTAGGTACGCTAATTAACTAAAGTCCTTAAAATTTGCAAGAATGATTTAAATGTAATTTTCATGATCTTGTGCAACATTTTCGCTAAAGTATACAAGTGTTTTCGGGTCGGGTTTTTTTACTGATCCCATCAGATTTTTTTTTCATTCAATATTCTAGTACAGAATAAATAAATATAAGAGAACACAATTCATATATAACAAATTACAAAGATTTTTATTTCTTTTAAAATTAAATTTTTTCTTGCATGTGCGAGTGATATTTGTTTATAAAATGAATTCACATTAAACTCAAAAATTTAATTTTAAATAAGATAGAAAACTGATACCAGGTTTTATATATGAAATGTATTATCTTATAATTTATTATTTTTATTAAATACTCTGTTCTAATAATTAAAGTAAAAAAATAAATAATTGAAAGGTTATTAATTTTAATTTATTTCCAACATTGTTTTTATTATTAACTTTAATTTTTTATGTACAACATAACATTAGATCTTTTTTCTGTAAAAATGTTTGAATACTTTGTGAGAAAATAAAAAAAAAATTTTATAATATAATAATTAACTTTAATAAAATGAACACAAAATTAAAAAATAATGAGAAAAAATAGAATATTAAAATATATCAGATATTAAAATGAAAGATAATTAATTCAACAACAAGAAACAGAACCAGTACATTAAAGGCAAGATTTATAAAAGAGCAAAAATGAAAAACAAAAGAAAAATTAAAGATTTCAAAAAATGATAAATGAAAAATTTAAATAATGAGTTTTATTGTTTTCTTTTTAGTTCTTAAATTTCAAAAAAAAAACTCTAAGTATATTTTTTTTTTCGTTCAACTCAAATACAGATTGTTTTTATTAAGAAATATTTGTACAGCTTTAAAAAAATAAAATAAATATAAAAAAATTAAAAAAAAAGACAACAAATGTATGTATAAATTAAACTTAGTATAGTGCTATAATAGATAAAAATAAATAATTAATTTAAAGCTTGATTTGTGCAATTGAAACATTTCTAATATTAGCAATTAACAGTAAAATATTTTGCTAATTAATAACTGAACTTTATTAACATAGCTTTAACATTCCCTTAGCTAAATATACAATCTTAATTTCTATATACTGAAATCCAACCGATTAGAGTGTGTCGTACATATACCCTTCAACTAAAATGTCTCGGTTTTAAAGCTATTGGGCTAGCTATTTTCAATTTTAAGTTAAAGTAAATCCGAATACATAAAATTCTCTCTATTTAAATTCCTTTTTCTAGTTTTTTTACTTCGACTTTCAAATATATGGAAGGATTTGTTCAATAACTCAATTTAAACTGCGAATCAAGCTTTTTAATTATTTCTTTAAACGAATTTTGAAAATTTATTTTTTTCCCCCTTTAATACATACTATAATTTATTTTTTTTTTATGTAAATTACAAAAAAAAAAAAGAAACTCTGTACATACTTTTTAATTTTTTTTATTTTAACTTAAATTTTTTTTTGGGCTGTTATTTATTTATAATTTAACAAAACAAATTTATTTGTAAATGAATAAAGAGCTTTATAATTAATTTAAAAATTTGTAATATTTTTTTTTCATTTCTTTTTATTAAATTATGTTGAATTCTGATTTAATTTTATTTAATTTGTAAATTGTGTTTCTTTTAGCTATAGTTGAAATGTTATTTTGTTTTATTAAACCTTCTAAGCAAATTCAATGTATTCGAAAAAATAAAATATATTTCAAAAGTTATAAAAATTATAAAAAATATAGGCATTTCATGTAATTCAGTTGCAAGTTAGTTTTGAACATAAAACATGTTCGATAAATCTAAGTTACAAAATCTGCAAGAATAACATGTTTGATAAATTTTTCCTACAAAAAAAGTATTTTCTAAAATGGCAATAATTGTGCTTGAAATTCTTAAAGAATTTTTAAATTTTTTTTTATAACTACATATTGCCAAAATATTATAATTTAAAAGAGGAGCATATTAGAAAATGATCGGATGTTGAAGAAGGATTCGAATAATTTTTACAGCCATACAATGTAATTCGATTTTCGTTTTCAGAAATATTATAAGGTAGAACCAATCAATTTGTATGGTACTACTTTTCCATTTCTGCAAATATGTACAAAAAATTTCATGAAAATTACATTACAATGTAAGACCCCTGTTTTTTTGCCGCTTTTCATTAGAATTAGGAAATAAAACCTTTAGAACCTTTTAAATAATTAATGGAACACATATTTGTTTAAATATATTTTACATATGTAAAATAATTAGATTAAATACAAAAATATTAATAAGAATAATTAATAATCTTAATTAACTGCTGTTTATTACAAGCAATTTCTGTCATACGTACGTTTAAAACTTTATTGCTTTATCAATTATTAATAAAAATATTTTTTAATTATTTTATAATCGATTAATTGGAAGGAATAAAACTTCAAACTCAAATTATTTTATTCAATCTTTTAAAATTCCTTTGAAACTCTTTGTTTTCTATTTTTTAAATAAAAATCCTAAAATATTTTCTTTACACCATGTAACACCATGTAAGGAAAAAAAAATTTCTTATATTTAAAGTTAAAAAACAAAGAAATTTTTTTTTATCCTTGAATATCACAAAATAAAAATATACTTAATAATAAAATTCAAGACAAATAGGTTAACGCTAATACAGAAAATTTTTTTTTTGTTCTTTCTTCTTCTTAGACCATTGTATCCTTCCTTTGTATAACCAATCACATATAAGTAAAAAGGAAAAATTAAATAAAAAACTGGAAATTTATTTAAAAATTTATCCCTTCAGAATTTTGCATTATAGGTACACATTGTAGCTCTAATTGTGTTAATGATTGAATTTGATTTAAGCATCTTTAATAATGGTTTTGAGATTTTAAGTAAAGAAGCAATCAGGTGAACACCTTAAGTTAGTATATGTAATAAGTTTTGTAATTTGAAATTTTTGATAAAGTTCCAACAAGACAACAAGTTTGGACTTTTTTGGTATTTCAGTTCTTAGTTAGATTTGACATGCAGTATGGTTTTTATTGAAGAACTGCAAATTTGTAGTGTTCAATTTTGAAGTACTGTGCAGCATGTTTTGTAGCTTATGCTGCAAGTAAAATTTTTTAAAATAGCATTAGGCATATGAGCAGTTTAAAAAATTTCATTATAAAAGTGATTTTTAACATTTCAATGTCGGACATTATGGATTTACTAAAGTAAATTGTTAAAAATTTTTTAATTAATTTAAAATTTACATCTTTTATTTTTTTTTTTTTCAATTTTGATTTTTGGAAATCCACATTTTATTATTATAATACATTATTAATGTTATTATAAGTTTTCAATTTTTTCTGCTTTATACGCGTTTTTCTAGACCTCTGTCATCCAAATTTTCATTTATGCCCTGAAATGATTGCGTTTTCAACAAATTCGAAATTGTAAATTCGCGCTCTATTTCTTTTTAATTCTTTATTTGACATTGATTAATTGAACGAACAGCTGACTTTAATTCTGACATACTTGCGCATCATACAAAAGCGGTAGCGTCAAAGTTTGTAGTACTTAAATTATTGCAAAAAAGCTTTTTTAGTTCTGATTAAGAACTTGCAGCTCAACATGCAATACCGAAAACGCCCTTGCTCTTTTACCAATTCTGTCCTATGTTATGAACGGTTAAACGGTTTCATTATGCATTGAATTTTAAAATGTTATAATAAAATATGTACAGCTGTATTTCTTCGATACGACGAAGGTTTCATAAAAAGAGAAAATAGAAAAATAGAAGTTATCTGTTTTTTTTTTTGTTTTTAACTTTTATTTAACGATATTACTTTGTTGTCGTTCTGTTATTTTCTTTTCATTTTCTTATTGTTCTTGTTTTTAACCTTTGAGCTATTTGTTTTTTCTGTCTTTTTTTTTTACTTCGGTTTTTGTTGAATTGTTCAGCAGGTGTTCTGAGAAACAAAGAAATTTTTATACATGTACCTACACAAAATAATCAAAATATCTAACTTATATACACATACTTATATATGTATAAAATATACTTACAATTGTAATCCTTGAAATTTTAAACAAAAACAACAAAAAAAACAGATATTTTCAAATGAATTGGAATTTTAATTTTTTTTTTTTTATTTTCCAACTGTTTTGTAGTGAACAAACTTATATATGAAATTTAAATGAAAAGAAAAATATAGGTTATATTCTCTCTTTTCCTTATATGTACTTCTTATCCTTTTTAAATTAAATTTTAAGTAAAAATATTAAGTGAAACAAAAAA